CGTTAAACCTTCTCCGTACCTCATACTCTCAAGGGCAGCCTTCTGCAACCCGGGATCAGCATCCTGAACCCTTTCAACATATAATTCCAATTGCTGCTTCAATGCCAAATCCTCATCCGACTGCTCACAATTAAATTAGATGTATAGGTCAGGTCAAACTATAACGTTTTTCTAATGAATGGTTCGGAAAAGTAACAAAGTACAACAGAGTTGTTCCATTTGAGGTCATAACCAGCAACAAACCCTCCCCATCTCCATATCCATAACGAAGCCCCAATTAGGGCGACCAGTACTGGCTCACAATTCACAAGCTTCTCCAACAAACACAAGGCATTACCAACACTGGAAGCCCTAATTTGCTCCAGGGAAAGAAATCAACCATCACAAAACAAACCGAGGTAAGTCGACTCTTACTCCCGTCGCTACATCACACAATCGTCCCAGCAACCAAAAGCAAAGCACAAATCGGAGATTAAATGGCGCTCGACCAATGGCAACCCAACTTACCAGATCATCGTCCTTCTTTTCATCTTTCTTCTTGGGGTCCTTGGCCGGGACCTTCACCGTCGCCTCCTCCCTGGTGGTCCCACTGCCGCTGGCGCCGTTGGGTTCTGGAGTCATCGTATTTCACAAAGGCAGCAGGGAGGGGAGCAGAAAGAAACCCTAAAAATTCTAGATCTAGACAAACTGCTTGATGTAAAAAATCTAGTCGCTGCAAGGCACAAACAACTGCGAATGGGAAGCCGAGTGTAGATGAAAGTTGCAGCTGAAATATATAAAGGGCGGCTTGGTTGACACGAAAGGAGTAGAGAGGACGGACTGGAATGAGGGAAGCCTTTTCCTTTTCTCTGATGCCGTGAAGGAAAACAGGCGCATCGGGGCTAAGGATCAATGCTTTCAGAACCGGCTCGACTTTAGAGGTTCAACCCAAAGTTGTTAACCTAGATTAACCCGTCAACCCGATCAAGCAATTGGATGGCAATTTGACTGGTCGAATCAGGATTGGTCCGACTAACCTCCCAAGTCCCATGTACACATTTTAATGGCTAAATTGAAATATGTTTTAGGCAAGATTGTCAACTTGGTTTGGAACCTTTATATAGTTTGAATGAACTATCGATACTCAAATCTCACCAAAAAGGTAAGATTATAAATACATCATTTTCTATGTATTAGAATACAACATATATTATGAATAGATGCATTATGTTATTACATCAAGTCAAAAAATGTTATATTCTCAGGATACATGTATACTGAGAATACGACATCTGGAATTGGAGGTTCCAAACGAGCCCTTAGTTTTGTCTGGTGATCCGCGGGAACGGATTCCATGCATAACCTTCTAATTGATAAACATGCATAATCCAATCTCAATTCGTCACATCAGTGCACTTTCTCTCTTCTGAAAAACTTTTAATTTTTTCCTATAATCTTTAACACAAGATTTCTCACTCGTTTTAAATCGGAATTTAGATTTTTTTTTTTTGCACATTTAGATCAGATTAATTGTGGTCCTCAAAATAGTATTCACTTTGTAATATTTTTGGAACAAAAAAATTAAGCTATTTTTTACCAGTTTATACCATATGGTATTGACTGGTATTAAATCAGAGCATACCATATGGTATGAAAGATACCAGCCCATACCAGGGTGGTATAGTATGGTATGGAGTTGGTAACGAGTATGAAATTCTTTCACCTATAAAATTTTGGATCCAATAGTTCATGATTAAATCGTTCCTTCTTTGCAAAAATTTCTGAAAATGACTTATAAACGAAGGAGATACCATATGATATGGAGTTAGTAACGAAAGGTATGCAAAAAAAAAATCTCGAAAAATATTCAAAATGGAATCCGAGTTAGAATGAAGAAGATATGATCTGATTAATTGTAGCTCTAGGATTGCTTTTACCATTTTGATACGCTTTTGATAGCTTTTTTTGGATTTTCAGGCTAAAGCATCTTAGAGGGCCACCTTACTCAAGTTGAAGACATTGTAGACCAGCCAGGATGATAAAACACAACATGAAAAGTGAGGAAGTAAAAGGCACAAAAAACGATGATATAAAGCAAAAAAACGACGTTGAAGGCTCTATTTTGAGTAGGCACGCATTTTGACAACTTGGCGATCCAAACTCGAAGAAAACTCCAAAGCCTTGAAATGCAAGCTGAGAAGAAGGAAACCCAGAAACGGCGGCCCAGTATAGTGTTTATCACTACCCATATTTGATACATTTTCCCTTCTATCGATGCATCATTAGTAGATTTTCCTATATTTAGTAAGAATTTCATAACTATTTGATCAATATGATTATAATAGACATAAGTTGTGTTTTAGTATCGTTATATGCTTTTTGTGTTTTTTGTGCTTTCCTGGGTCAAATGCAATCTAGGATGATTTGGATCAACATTTGGATCAAGTTGGAAGATCAAAGGGGTATACTAGAAGATCAAGAATGGTTTGTCCAATAAGCGAAGCCCAATGGAGAGGAAGTTGACTCGCTAAAATACAACTCCTAACAATGGCCAAGTGTAACCAATGAAATGGATTGCAGTATAGTGGTGCGAGTAATAAATATCGAATCCTCGGATCTCTAGATGTACTATTACTCAGCTTTAGTTCATTATCTAGCAAATCAGATTAAGGATTATTTAACTAAACTACTCTACTAACTAAACTAAGTAAAACTACTAATTACATGTTGGGAACTCACTTAGGTATGATTCCCCCTAGTCTGCAGTTAGGCCAAGTTGTAATTCACCCAATCCAATTCAGTTGACAGATATAATGCGGAAAGTTCTTGACAAGTCTGAAATCTCGACTAAAGTAATCCAGACCCTCTCAATTCGAAAACCCGGCGAGCGACTAACCTCCACCAGCATAAACTAACCAAGGCAATAACACACCAAACTTCCTCTACTGGCTTTAATTCCAGTACAGAGCAGTGAATCGATTTCTCGACTAAAGCAATCAATCCACTACTTTCAATAAAGGTTGCTCTATTAACCTATGCAGAGACTATCGTTCTAGGTTAAAGCAGGAATCACAAAAGTTTGATCAGGACTCAAGTAATTCTGAATCAATGCCTCAACTGAATATAAAACGTCAAACAATAATGAATTCGAGTTCATACAACTCTTCCTAGTATACAAAACTTGGGTTCCTCAAAACCAAAGTGAAGGGAATTTACTCCATATAGAAGAGAGAGAATGCAGAAATCTGATCTAGATCTTCAATCTCCATTTCCAAGCCTGATTCCTGAGCTCCAATGATGAAGAAATCCTCCAAAATAGCTCCAAGAATGTTTCCAAGGTACTCTCTCTCTAGGGTTGGTCCCTTGGGTGTTTGGAATCCAAAACCCAACGCTCCCCCTTCAGAATCCGCAAAAATGAATTTATACAGCTCTCAGAAGCCAAGTTACGGCCCCAAGTTACGCCCGTAACCTTTGGGGTTCAGGCGGTAACCTATGGAATGTATTATGCCTCCCGTAACTCTAGAGAGGCTGTTGTCTTTCGGTCATTTCTCCGTCATCCGAACTCTGAATCAGTCGTTGTTTGATCCCAGACGCTCGTAGTCTGGTCCTCTTTCTTTCCACGCCTAGATTACATTATTCTTTGTCCATTAAATTAGGTAGAAATCCATTCTTCCTTGGGTCATACCCGAGTTTCTTCCCCCCGAGTCGCCAATTGATCTCTGATTGACTTGAAACTTGAGCCTATGCTTCACTTTACATGCTAGGACCTGAAATGTGACAAAGGAACACAACCTAGCGTAAAATAGGCCAAAGTATGATAAACACCAAGCTAAACAATCAAGAAATGAGGGGTAAAACCTGTGCAAATTCAGTGTTATCAAGAGCCTACGTGAAATCTTCAGATGAGTCTAAGAGGAGTCTACTAGAGAAATTTCAGTCCAAACTTGCAAAGAAAGTCACTGCGGCTATGTGATGGGCTCAACCTCCGCCGAGCCAAACCTTACCAGTCGCTATGAAAATCCATGGAGAGGCTACTTGAGGGATAAGAAACACAAATCAGGAGGAAGAACCACGGTGGCCCTGAACATCGTTCAACCGCCATAGTGCCAAGTCCATAGAAGCTTCGAGAATATGCTTTCATTCGTCCCGAACTCAAGAAATATGTGTCTTAGTGGTACAGGGACACCTTTGACCTAGTTTTAGGAAGAAAATGCATAAAACCCCCTTCTTTCATACACTATAAATAGAGGGTCGGGCTATAAGATTACATAGACTGCAAAACTTACAATTTACTCTTCCAAAACTCGATCAAGGAGCCAAATCGAGATCGAAATAGCATTCATAGAAGGGTGCAGTTAAGGAATGCCTTCATCATCGATGATGCTACCATCCTTCTCTCTTATGAAACTCTAGTTCAAATTCGTTGTTGTGGATTTGAATTCTATTGATGCTTTATGCATCTTCTTTCTATGAGTTAATGAGATGTTTTGCTCATTAAACTCCTTTATCATTCGATGCCCATATCATTATATGTTTAGTTCATGTATGCTTATATTATTCGAATACTTTAGTTGTGTGATGCATTAATCATGTGATGCCTATATCAACTATTGTGTGTTACTATGGTGTTGTTTATAATACCATGTTAAGTGATAAGAGACTACTCTTACGTGATGTGACATTGTGTTATGTGTGTATGGAGTAAAATGATCAACCATCCGTGCTTGCATGAGTTCAATACTTGATGCCTTAGATCATCAATGTTATGGACCATTACTATGGGTCATAGATTCCCTAAATAGTTATTGTGTTATCTTTACTTTCTTGTTTAATTGATTAGTTAATGGCATGAAGTAAAAACACGTATTAGCTAGTTTTAGTTCCTTTTGCACGTGGAGAAAGGTCAATTAGGAATGCTTTAGTGAAAGGGATCAGGTTATCTGAAAGAAGATGCATCAATGCATACCAGTAATGAGATTGTGATGTATGATCATCTAGGATGAACTTTTTTATCCATGTGTACCTTTACTTATCATTTACTTTATGCTCTACTCTATGTTATATATCGAAAAACCACTAAACATGGGTAACCTCAACCCATCGATTTCTATTGTGTCTTTGTTTTAGCAAAAGTGATTGGTGAAAACACGTTCGTATCCAAGGAAGCCAACTACGAAGTATCAATAGTGAAAACGAATGCTAAGCACGAAAAGATTGTTATGGTACAGGTACAACTAGTCATGCGGGGCGTACTTCTCCCATCCTCAATTTGATCAAAATCTCTTCAAAAATGGTTGATAAGTACCCATATGGCCTTGAGAATTTCGATGCAACCTGCAAACTCGACAATGCTATCCCGTCGAAAACTGAACAAACTACTCAACTTCTCTAATGATCCTCCTTTTACGCACTGATTCGGTAACGATGCTCCCTGGGGTGCTGTGAGCTTTCCTCCTTTCCTCTTTCTTCTTCTCAGCATCAATCACCGTGCAGCGCAACTCCTTAGCTTTGTATATTGGTCTTGGCAAATGCCTATGTCTGCACAATCATCCATAACGCACGCCAAATTAAGTTGCAGAAAATCGTGGCATAAAGGCTTGTCGTTAATCACTTCCACATGTGACCTGAAAAATTCGCTTACCTCACTATCCTTTTGACTTCAGGTAGATGCTTATAACGATTCTTGACAGCTTCCTGGTATTCGTGCTTTTTCTGTTCCCTTGGAAGCAACTGCAACAGCAGGATGTATAGATATTAGCAATTAGAAAAATATGATTCAGCAAAGCCTGATCTACATAAAACAGACTAATTAGGTCGGAACATGGAACGAAATATATCTTACAACTCCCATCTGCTCCGATGCTTTAGCTTTCCACAACCTAAGGTTAGTGTCATCACTCCCTGAAATAATGTAACTTGCATCGCTGCTAAACTTGACACAAAATACCCTGCCAAAAAAAGAAGAAAATTGTGTTGTCATCAAATAACTATCAACTCGAAAAACGTCAGGACGAAGTTGCTACTTCATGTACTAGCATGACTTGTGAGTTTGAACAGGATATATATAACTAAGGAAACAAACCTTTGCATTCTCTTTGTATGATAGATTTCCCGACTATGGCCACCGTTATATGGGAAAATTCTAACCTGCAATCAGACATCAGGCAGCAGTTCCATAAGATCAGAATCAGAAATTTACCCAAAGGACAGAGACTGAACGACAATGTAACTGTTCGCCTTTCAAGCAAAGACAACCAGTGAAAGATTGAACTTACAGTTCTATCATAAGATCCAGTTACAAACTCCCGGCCAGTAGGAGAGTAGTCTATGTCCATGCTGAAATAAGGATAAACAAGATTATAGATCTCCTGAGAAGGTATTAAAAGCACAAAAACAAAATTGCACATGCAGACGTTAAAAGAAATGAGCATGAACTCACACTGCAGAAACATGATCTTTGTGCACACATTTGGCTTCGTCCAGTTTTCTAGCATCATAGCTATAGCAACTGCAATCCTCATTTGCCTGCAGAAATGAAAAATTGTATCATAAATTAGTTTGATAGTCAGGCACTAGCAAAGCAATCAGCAACAGTTAGGTATGCCTTGTATATCCATGTTTGACAATGGCAGCAAAATTATCAGACACCAGAAAGATTTTAACAATATCAATGGGCTTACTGCTGTGAAGTTGAGTGGCTCCATGGGGTTCCAAGCAATGGAATTGGTTCTTGTCTGTAACAAAAAGATAACACTCAGATTTACAGACATAACTGCAGTAGCAAGTAGCAAAAACCAGAAGCAAGCGAAACCAAAGTTTAGAAGAACCCAAGAGAATGAAACTAGAGGACAAGCAACCCAATAGACAAGCGAGTGAGTCATGAAGAAGGCTGTCAAAGCAGAGAGAATTGAAGTCTGAACTTTATCTGTGTCCTACACATAACTAAGTTTGCATTTCCGCCGACTTCAACATCAACCATAAAAATGGTGATGGTCTTCCACCCATATATGCACACATACATGATAGAAGGAATAGATACAAACTCAGTCGATTTTAGAAATATTGTACAGCAGCGATCTTACAGGACAAAAAGATAGCAATAAATTTTGAGATCATCAGCATGAATCACATCTAGAGTTCATAACCAAAAAATTTACCTGCATGATAAGTTTCCTTGCAGGAGTTGACATGCGCAAGTCATACAATGCAATGCTGCGATCACTGAAAAAATATTATGAAATTTTAGGAACAATTAACAACCTCTCTTCAACCCATAAGTATGTTGGACAAGCCAGTAGTATAGATCATTAACAACACAAAAACAAGCTACCAAACCAAAAGAAAACCACACACACCTGAACCTACAAAGCAAAATGGTTACCATTCAAGTTCTTGCGATTGGGGAATTGGACTCTGCTTATTAATAATATGGTAGTGGTATCAATGCTAGGAGACTATTTGAATTGGACTTCAACTGTCTATATAATCCCAATTCATAATTTGCAACATAAAAGCTCAATCCAAAAGCACTGTTTGCTATGAATCTTCTATTTCAATATCACCCTTCTACTTTGTTAAAAAACAATTGGAATCACATATACAGCATCACCTATCCATACATTTCAATCATTAAGCCCTTAGCGACCAATACAGGATTCATCTTCACACCACATACCTAGCTGACGTGGCCAAAAGATTTGGCTCCCCAGGATTAAACCGGACGGAGATAACTGTATCTGTCCCCCACTCGAAAGTGTTTACGGGCTGCGACCTGATAAAGAAGCCAATCTTGTCAAATCAATAATGCAAATTCAATATTTCAGTGTAATACAAAAACCCAAGAAAAATAACCTGTTGTGATTCCAAATTTCAACTCGAGCACCAGTTGTAGCAAAGAGGTCACCACCCCACTGATGGTCTACGGCCCTGTGATTAGATGGTAAAATGGAAAGTTGTTTAATAAGAATAATTAAAAAACCCAGCTATACTGAAGCTCATATGGAACTCGCAAGTAGTTCTTAAATCCTCACCAATAAGCATTCTTTCCAACATAAACTGCATTGGCCTGGATATGTAAACAAGCACAGTCAGCATGGCAAGATGGGAAAGAGAGCACATTTATCAGACAGCAACAACAACGAAAGCACTACCTCGATGGGCTTATTAGAGGCATGATCTGATTCCAAGGTAGCAGCTACTGGCACACTCCAAATCCTAACACTAAATGTGCAGGATAAATCAAAATATATCCACACTCTAGAAAAAGATCTTGCTTGGAAGAGAAGAAACAAATATGCAGAAGCTCATACTTACGTGCAATCTGTTCCACAAGATATTAGGGTGCTTCCATCAGTGGATGCTGTTAAGCCTCTTACAGCACCTTGGTGACCAGGAAACTGACAAACTGTTTTCCTGCTCAATCCACACGTTCGGTGCAATTTTGGGTACAAAAATGTGAAGTAAGCATCCATCATAAGGTGAATCTTAACAAACAAAAATTGACATCTCAAAGCTGAAAAAAAGTACAATGGAACATTTTGATTCGGCAGACAGGACATGATAAAAAAGCGACTGACAAACAGAAGAGTCCTACACCAATCCAATTTGTGTTTTTTTTCCACGTGGACCCCACTCATTGTTAATGAATGGTAGCAAAGCATACAAAAAAGGAAGATCTAACCGTATAAAATAACAAGTTCCTTCCAACAGACTACTACCATATTCTGAAAGATTTGTCAAATTTATGAGCAAAGCTGGATCCACGTCATAGAAAGTAATACCCACCTCATACAAGGTAATCAGGGTCATTCCTTTAGTTCTACTTAAGGACCCACGGGCTCTAATATCTACAGCAATAAATTACACTGCAGTTTTGCAGTGTGTTTTTCCATTCACAATTTCATCCAGGCAACAAATTGTCAGTAAATGATAAATGGATCAAGTTGCATGAAGAGCCACCAGTTAATCTCTAGACAAATTGAATATAATAAGCTAGGCAGAACGCAAAATGCTCCCCGTCTACCCTATGATGTCCAGCTAGGAAACCTATTGCACACCATGACCAGTCTTCGATTTTAAGAAAGAAATTGGTAGTGAGTTGTACAAAGAAAAGATTACCTGGAAGCTATATCCCAGAGGCGAATATCTGCAAACACCCATACAATGCAATTAGAATCATCACAAACGAACAATGACACATCCACAGCTCTATATGAGAAGAATCCTGTATCTAGCTCCAATATAATAGATAGAAGTGTAAGGTAGTGGCCTGGATACAACCATGATAAGCTGTGATACAATCCAACCTTTTACATTAATAGAGTCCTAGAACAAGCATAACAAAAATGAAGGCAAAAAGATCTTTTACCTCCATCCATAGAGCCGGAAAAAATCCCTTTCAAGAAATTGGGGTTCTTCGCCATACACGAAATAGCATCTATGTGACCATCCATTGCTCCTATAAATGGTCTTGCAAAGATCTAAGAGAATAATAATCAATTCCCCAGATGTTAGATTAGAAAGCAAATAAAAAATTTCATTCCTAGCAACATGTTAAGAAGATGAATTCAAGCAGTCGTGAAAACCATCATCAGCATGAAAAAAATTCATAAAGCTCGAAGTTACCTTCTCTAACTTGGCAGCATTAAGTGCCCTGACATATTCAACTGCTTTCTCTTGAGGACGAAGTTTGGGGTCGAAATTGCGGAACACTCTCTAATTGAGAAAAAAAAAATTCCAACAATTGAATTATTAAAAAGAGTATGCTATTTGAAGAGACTATCAATGAAAAGAACAGAAAAGATATCATAAAATTTTAGTTATCTGGTTGGACCTGAAGATCTTGGCTTCTGAGCGTGATATTACTTTTACTTTCATCTTCTTCTGCTGGTCCTTGATTACGAGGTTGACAAAGAGCACAAGCGACAAATAGAAAATACCAGAGGGTAGCTTGCTTCCGCTCCTAACTATGTTTTCAAAACCAGACTGGTCAACAAACCTGCAACACAAATGTTTCCTGGTTTAAGCAGGAATGGAATCAATACCATTGAGAGTATCAAAGTGTCCGTGACCCAACCAAGATAGATAGACACATGTTATTCAAATTTGACGAGCACAGGAGGAGATAATTGACAATCCGAGCTAGCTAATTAAACCACCAAAAACTTCAACGATGGCCCAAAGCTTGGCGGATGACATCAGAATCAGTTATCATATCATAGACACATGAATCAAACATGGAAATGGGTAGACTTTCAAGAGAACCAAACAGGGGAGCAAGTAAATCTTTATGGAGAAGGAAATCTTTCATGGAGGCAATATGTTCTGTTCCTACACAAGGCAAAGTTGGAAGAGGACTAACCTCAAGCAGAGGAGATCGTCGATGCTGCTGGGGAGCGGGAAGGCCGGCTGTTTCGACGCTGCTGGAGGAGAGGATTCGTCCGATGGAGAGGCTCGAACGAATCGTCGGGTGGAGGAGGGAGATGGCGACCGGCTGTAGGTTCTCTTCGACGGTGGAGAATCGCGTCGCTGCTGCTTGATTTCGTCGACTGGAGGAAGGATTCGCCTTCGCTGCTTCCGGTCGTCGCTGCTGCTTCTCTTCTCAGGCGCGGGAGAGGGATCGAGTTTAGCTGCTCGTAGGGTTTTACTTTTAGTGGGCAAAACGGCGGCATTTAGGAAAAGAGGAGATAAGCAAAAAAAGTAGTCGCTGGCAGGGATCGAACAAACGACCTCATTAATCTAACCATTACTATATGGAGGTTTTCCTCCAGGACACCACCAATCCCAAATTCCCTGGCTCCTGCGCATAGGGCGGAAGGACCTTAAGGTAAATTTTTTGTTTTAATTCACATGGCTACACGGCATAAAAGGGAGGACGGATGGGCCTTAGCTTAATATATTTGAATTCATACGGGCCATAGAGAACAGAAAAGGATTTATGTGGGCCAGCTTCTTCAAATTATTGTAATTATAGATGCAATTTGAATTTATACTATAACGTTAAAGGTATAAGTTCATTTTGTATCATAAATTATTTTGTACGAAAATGTATTAAGTGCAAATTTTATTATAATGTTAAATATTATACGTTCAGTTTTTATAATAAATAAATGAATTTGCATGGAAAGATAGAGTTACAAATTAAATTTTCACCATAACAATAAAGTACAAGTTCAGTTTGTACTATAAAAATATTGTTTGAAAATATATAGACACAAAGTGAATTTAACTATAACATTAAATATTTTTTTAAACGAAACAACCGATGGTATGGAGTACCGTAAAATTCCTCTACATATTTATTGAAATTATTATTAGCATCTCTATTTCATTGTATCATTTAGGAAATTTAGATTATTTTTACTTTATTAATAGATGAGATGTATAATTCAACGTGAATAATAACTCCCTGATTGATTTTTAATTAATCATATTTCATTTGTTTTTATTTAAATTATAAATTTTTTACTTAAAAATCAAATAATTATACTACATAGAACGATATTCATTTTGCGTACCTTCTACGCTACACTCACAAAACGTAGCGCATACAATGCTCCCAACTCTAAAAGTAGTTTAAAGACATCGAATTTCAATGTAATTGGTACCATTAGTCTAATATGATGATATAGCATAGGATCATAACCAATCAATGCATAACCCTAAGTCCTAAACCTTCAATTTTTAACCCTAACCCTAAACCCCAAATTGTAAACCTTAACCTTAAACTCCTCAACCCTAAACCATTCAAATCAAAGTAAATCTTGAGGGCCTTTTTGGTAAATTCATGTGTTTTATTGTCCATCGTACAAGTAAAGATTGACATCATTTTGACATGAATCGCCTACTAAGAATGACGATTATGAGGCGAGTGCATAACATGCAGCCAAAAAAATGCGTGCACCGAAGACAAACCTTCGTTTTGATATATTTTGGAATAAAAATAATCTAGCATCCTATGGCATCATGTACAGTAGCATTCATGAACTATCAGTTCTTCTATAGTGGTAGCCGATCTATATGTGAATTCCTAATCACATCCCTGCCATCAATTTTTGCTAGATTGTCATGAAAGTGGGTCTCACCTTGCTGACTGGACTTTGAATAAGATCCTAACCTTCTTAAAGTCAACTTAGAATGATCATGATACTCCCGCTTAATTCATGATTTACAAATTGAAAAATAAAAGGCAAAATACAGTTGTATATCCACAAATATCAGGTTTGTGACAAATATATCCACAACTATCGAAATACACGAAATATCCAAAAATCAGAAGGTTGTGTGACAAATCTATCCAATTTCGTCTGAAACTATAACGGCGTGTCGGACGGCGTTAAATTGACTAACGGAATGCTGAATAGATGCCATCTCACATGCCATATAAGCCAAAAAGCAACCAAACTTTACACGTAGATGCCAAATAGGCTAGTTGAATAAAGGCAAAATACAGCTGTATATCCACAACTATCAGGTTTGTGACAAATATATCCACCAATATCAGGTTTGTGATAAATATATCCACAGCTATCGAAATACAGGAAATATCCATTTTCGTCCACTTCGTTAACTCCATCAGTTAACTTGATAACTGGACAGACGGTGGATGCTTAGTTGGCGTGTTTCTGGCCCCACTGAATGACGTGGATTAAAAGAGGGAAAAAATTTAAAAACCCTAAAACCCACAGACGGCGAGAATAAAAATCCAACCCAGAAACATGCCCGATAACCACTTATCCTCCTCCGATCGACGGCTCCACCCCCAAATAACCCTACCCCAAGCCCAGATTTCGATTCCAACCACAATCCCCAACCATTGCCTCCCTTTTACTCCGACAGCTTCCATGCAGTCGGCGCCATGGTGATACCAAGCTTGAATCTCAAACAAAAAAAAAAACTTGAATCTAACCAAATCGCCAACAGAGAAGACTGCAACAGCGAGGTCTAACAGATAACGGTGTAAAGTTTGGTTGCTTTTTGGCTTATGTGGCAGGTGAGATGGCATCGATTCAACATTTCGTTAGTCAATTTAACGCCGTCTGACACGTCGTTATAGTTTCAGACGAAAATGGATAGATTTGTCACACAACCTTCCGATTTTTTAATATTTCGTGTATATTGATAGTTGTGGATATATTTGTCATAAACCTGATAGTTGTGGATATACAACTGTATTTTGCCTAATTTTTTCCCCCTATTTTAATCCACGTCATTTAGTGGGGTCAGAAACACGCCAACTAAGCATCCACCGTCTGTCCAGTCATCAAGTTAACTGACGGAGTTAACGGAGTGGACGAAAATGGATATTTCGTGTATTTCGATAGTTGTGAATATATTTGTCACAAACCTGATAGTTGTGGATATACAGCTGTATTTTGCCAAAATAAGATATTAATTAATCGGCAAGCATACTTAAGGGGTCTGGGCAGATACGGCAGGGTTCACCATAAGCTTATGTACACCTCTTTTTTACACCCCGATATATTCTCAGCCCTTCCCCTACGATGATCCGCTGGCGGTGAGCCAAGTATTCTTAATTTCTTATACTTCCGTCTCCGATTCCCCAGTATCCTGTGGATATTTTTTTCCCCGACACGTGATTCCCCCATAGCCTCCTTTCTTCTCCGCTCTTTTCCTTCGAAGATTTCATTGGTGCTTGGTGGAATCGTTTACTCCTTCCATGCTTTCTTCTTCACCCTGAGAATTGTGAATGAGTTTGGTCACTCTGTTTTGCGACCAATGGGATTGGGTTATTTGAAGAGGGAAGAGGGTAATCAAAGAAATTTTTTCCTCTGTAAAACCGAAGGAGATTCGATCGGCCACTCTGTTTTAGGGTTGGGTTATTGGGAGAGGGTAATCAGAGAACTTTTTCCCTCTCTAAAATCAACGAAGGAGATTCAATCGACCACTCTATTTTTTGGTTGATAGAAGAAGCATTCATACTTGCTAAGGAGTTCAATTGCATGCAGCCAACTTCCCTACTGCTTCATCAAGAAGGAGATTCGATCGATGACTCTGCTTTGTGGACGATGGAAGAAGCAACTACACTTGGCTAAGGAGTTCCATTGCATGCAACCAACTTTCTTACTTCTTCATTCAGAATTGTAAGTGTCGGTGGAGTGGCAGGAGCAGATGTCTATTTCTCCGAATGCAGAAAGCAAACCTAGAGAGAGCATCTATGGATAAAAGCACGATTCTTTTATCTCAATTTGACGCTTGGGAAATCTATTTTTCGTAGAACTTTGGAATCCAGTGTCAATAAGAAGGAATAATGGGGAAAGAGAATTGTGAATGAAACTGTGTGATACACAGGGCGAAGGAGAAGGAAGTCATGGAGTCATGTACTCATGTTTGTTGACACATGTTCTTTCGTATTCTCCACGTGTAAAGCGGAGGGATTTTGTCAGAATAAATTTTTTTTTTTTTGGTAATTTTGTCAGAATAATTATTAATAAGAAGGAAGATTACATTGCAATGAAATTTGTGGAAGACATAATATTGGTTGGGATTTATGATAGACAAATAGGAATAGAAAGAAAAAAAAAACATCTTCAAATGGACAAATGCCATGATCAAAATTAACTCAAGTATCTACTCAAATCAAGAGGGGAGTCTCACCTTTAAATTTACCATGTTAATTCTTTTCAATTTAAGTATAAATTTTAAGGGTTGAAAAATTGTATCGGTATGTCGACCAGTAAAATTTTCAATCGAAAGCAACATTGGTAGATGGTATGGAGCGGTATGAAACATTGAATTATTGTTAAACCACGACACTGCTGATATTTTTGATACAACCTACCTCATTCTCTTTTAATTGACTTGGTCTTCACTCTTCAGACTATTCAGGGTAAAAAAAATTAAATGTTAAGGTGCATATTCTCACAAATATTTTTCTTCATTTTCGCCTAATTGAAGAAGTTTTGCTAACCATACTCAGTAGCATGCCAAAACTATCCAAGTTATTCTCCCATCCTCTCATAAGTCTATAAGTACAACCCTCTCATTGAATCTATTTAGCTAATTATTTATTAACTAATTCGTAATTATTATGACGTCTTCAAGATTAACACATTTAAAAGATTCATTTTAATCCCCACCTCATATTCAAGATATGATTACTATTGATTGCTAACTAATCGATAAATGCTAGATTTTCAAATAATCCGCGGCAACGTGCGGACCATTTATCTAGTGAGCAATATCCACTTTCCACTAGGAAACAACTTTTAATGGTTTCCTTCTAGCTTCCTCATTTATGCCAAATGAATTTTTCCAACGAAAACGAAACTACAAGTGAACACGTTTCTTATCATTTGTTTTTTTATTTTCATTTTTACAATAGAAAACAGAAAACAAAATGGGAAGTGAACGGGGCATAAATTTCAAAGATAATAATTACTAACACCCTCACTGCTAGTTTGAGGTTTACTAAAATTTTTTTACCTTTCTCTTTAAAAAATATTTAATTTCATTCATGATCGCTCAAATTCGTGGTTGTCATCCCAGTGGCAGTGATATGCTAACTGGTTAAACATGGTACAACTGATGTCAGTAATAAAATCGGCTGGAATATTAGCGGTGGGCATCCGGTTCGGTTTCAACTCTACAAACCGAACCAACATAAACCGAATTTCATAGTATTCGGATAGAAATTCGGATGGAAAAAGCA